GCCCGAGGAGCCCAAGGTCAGCCTCAGTGGCGTCCACCATTTCGCTCGAGCGGCTTCCGAGTTCGAAAGCCCAGAAGGGGTTTTCCTTTTCCCTGAGCTTCGCATCATCAGCACCATCACGAGAGAAGTGGAGCCTGAAGGGGAAGGGGACGAGGACCCCACAGGTAACAGCTCTGCTGGGCTGGTCGCCCTCCCCTTGGCTTGAACGTGGGTGGCTGGCGCCCCACGGCTGCTCCTTCCTGCATGCTTTTTCTCTGAGATTTTGAGATTTGAATGTTTGGATGTTATTCTTGGGTCTGCTCCTGGAATCTGACTCGGGGTCGAAAGCTCATTGTGTTCTTTGGAAAACCTGTCTGGAGAGTCCTTTCCTCTCTGGTGTGGTGTCCGGATCTGAGATGCCCTTGTGGAGGCTGAGAGGCTCCGGGCCCATGGCAGGGGACAGTGCTGCTCCTGCTGGCTGTACAGCGGCCCCGCATTCTTGGGCCGGCCCCGGGGGCCAGTCCTCCCAGACACGTAAGGCACCCTGATTCTTGACAGGGCCTCTCCTGGACCTCTGTCATCAGTCACTGAAAGGGCTCTGTGAGCTCGAGGCCAGTTAGCAGGCCACCCGGGGTGACAGGCCTGTCTGGGCTCCCCGGCCTCTGCCATTAGTGCTTGGTCTGTTCTTACAGTTCAAGAGTCACTGGTGTCTGAGGAGATCGTGCACGACCTGGATACCTGTGAGGTTACGGTGGACGGGGACGAGCTGAACCCGGCCCAGGAGAGTCTGGAGGTGGACGCGGCCCGCCTGCGGCAGAAGGGCATTGCAGTGAGCGCTTCCGACCTGGGGGTGGTCTTCACAGGTGAGCGGGTCAAGGCCAGGCCGGGGGCCGAGCAGAAGCCTCAGTCCTGCACACACACACCCCACCGGCCATCCTCTCCGAGCTCTGGGAGAGACCTGGGGACCGTGGCAGAGGAGAGGCTCAGCCTGGGCCATTCAGCTTCTCCTGGCAGGAAGGGAAGCACAGGCATTGCCCTACTTCCTGTCCTTGCGAGGGGCTGACAGTGAGGCACGGGATGGCTCCCCACCCCCTGCCGCAGGACACGCGCACCCACTTGGTCCAGCCGCCCCCAGCCAGTAGGCCACCTTCTTCCCCTGTCCCCATAGGTGTGGACACCATGGCCAGCTACGAGGAGGTGCTGCGCCTCCTGCGCTACCGGAACTGGCACACCAGGTCCCTGCTGGACCGAAAGTTCAAGCTCGTCTGCTCGGAGCTCAATGGCCGCTACATCAGCAACGAGTTTCAGGTGGAGGTGGGTGATTGGGTGCCCCCCTATGGCCCCATGTTCAGAGCATCCATGAGGCACCTGTTGGGATGCGTCCAAGTGCGCTAGGCTTTCGCGGCCTGGGGGTCGCCGATGTGCCCCTCATGTGCGTCTGAGGGGCCTCTGGAAGGAGGTGGAAGAGCTAGAGGCAGGTGATACCTCGTGAGTAGAGCCAAGGTGGTTTGTTGAGATTGACGCTGCTTGAGAAAGAGCAGTTCCCAGGGAACTGAAGATTCTCTGCAGACTGCTGGCCCGGGGAGGGGGGTCCTGGCGTGGGGCCAGGCCGGGCAGAGGGCTCCCGGTGTGGGGCCGGCCCGGGGAGAGGGGTGCTGTGCTGTCTGCTGAGCCTGGTGGTGGCATCTCATGGCACGGTGGTCACAGAGAGCTCACCCTGCTCAGACGTCTTCCACAGGCCTGGACAGCAGCCCTTTCCTCACTCAGGGCTTCGTGGTCTGGAGAAAACGGGCCCAGAGTTACTCTCAGCAATCGAAGGTCTGCATGGTAACCTCAGAGCAGCCAAGTGCTGATGTCTCAGTGCTGAGGAATCGATGAGGGTTTTGTTTGAGCCAAAAGCTAACAGATTTGGAAGGAAACCAATGGTTCTGATTTGTGCTTTTTCACTTGGCTATGGTTTTGGGGAAAAGCAGGGAAATGGGCTATGCCAGGGCTTCTCGAATGACCTGCAGCTGACAGTGGTGGTGGTTTTTCTGGTCTTTTGTGGATTCTTTTATGAAATACAATAAAAAGGAATTCCTAGAACAGCATTCTGTTTCTGGGATCGCCGACAGTACCAGGCAGTTAGGACGGTTTCTGAGAGCTGAGCCTCGATTTTTCTCTGTTCTCATCTCATCGGCTTAGCAGTGCGGGTCCAGGGACCCCTTCGAGTCGCACTAGTCCCAGTAGCTTCTGGACTGCGTTTCTGCTGCTGGGCCACGTTCAGGCTGCTGTGTGTGTCTCTGGTGCAGGTGAACGTCATTCCCGCGGCCAGCCCCATGGAGCACGCCAGCCACATGGCCGCACAGCCCCAGTTCGTGCACCCAGAGCACCATGCCTTCGTCGACCTCTCAGGGCACAACCTGGCCAGCCCCCACCCCTTCGCAGGTAGGACTGCGGGGCAGAAGCAGGGCCGTCTGCGTCGGTCCTGGTGGGGGATGCCCTCCCGCGTCCTGCTGGAAGCCCAGCCCCCAGTCTGAGCAGCCCCGGCCGGCTCCGTGATTCTGTGCCTCCCACGAGGGACGAAAGCTCCAGCAGGCAGCCAGGGGCCAGCGCAGGGCTGGAGACCTGTGCTGAGACTTTCCTCACATTTCTTCCTGTTCTCTGGGTCAGAGCTGCTGTGTGTGCATGGGGCCCGGGGGCAGGCGCCCCTCACCGCCCTGTCCCCTTCGGTTGCAGTTGTCCCCAGCACCGCCACGGTGGTCATTGTGGTGTGTGTCAGCTTCCTGGTCTTCATGATTATCCTGGGCGTGTTCCGGATCCGGGCCGCTCACCGGCGGACCATGCGGGACCAGGACACCGGGAAGGAGAACGAGATGGATTGGGACGACTCTGCCTTGACCATCACCGTAAACCCCATGGAGGTAGGTGCCGGCAGGCGGTCCCTGTGACTGCACGCCCCTGCAGGCCAGAGCAAAATGACACGCGCCCCAGAGAAGCCACGTGGCCATGGCACCTCCGCGTTTATGTGGCTTAAATGCCATGTGACCCACATGACAGGTTGGGGAGGTGCAGGTGTCCCCATTCTTCAGGAGGGCAAACTGAGGGCCCAGAGAGGCCTTATCCCAGCTCGTGCCACCCCGTCAGGGGAGGAACACACTCCCTGCCTGTGACAGACCCCATGGGTGGCGACCAGAGAAGGGGGCCCCGGGCTCAGTTCCCACACTGTCTTTGTCAGACGTACGAGGACCAGCACAGCAGCGAGGAGGAGGAGGAGGAGGAAGAGGAAGAGGAGAGCGAGGATGGGGAGGAAGAGGATGACATCACCAGCGCCGAGTCAGAAAGCAGCGAGGAGGAGGAGGGGGAGCACGGGGACCAGCAGAACGTGAACAGGCAGCAGCAGCTGGAGTGGGACGACTCTACCCTCAGCTACTGAACCTCGAGGCCGCACCCCCCGCCTCCTCTCTCTGTGTTAGGAGACCCTGCTGTCGTCTGTCCTCCCAGCCCCAAGGGTCCACGGTGTACAAAGTCATTCTGGCCAGTAGGTCTGCAGACCCTCCCCATCGCTGACCATCTGCCTGTGCTTGGTGTGTAGGCCCCCCCGCCCTCCACCCAGACCGCCCCGAAGCTATGCGGGGAGCTGACGCGCACTCCCCGCAGCTCGCTCTGCGCGGCCCCCTCGCGTCCCCGGAAAAGCTGCAATGACTGGACTCATTGGCAAAGGGTTAAAATTGCTCACTCCCACCTCGTAATCCCGTTTTCCTCCTTTTTTTTTTAAAGTTTTTATTTTTTCCAAACTAGTGCATGTATAAAATGGCAGAGTGGGGGTTAATATGTAGATGATGAACTTTTTAATATTTTGTAAATAAACTGGGATTCCTATGTCCTCCATGCCAGCGTGACCCAGGACTGGCATGCAAGTTGAAGCTTGACTCACAGCACAGGAGACACCCCGCGGGCTCCTGCCCACCCCTGCCCTGAGAGGAGAGGGCTCTGCCCCACTCTGTCTTTGCCACGTGCACCCGCTCAGCTGGTGGCCAGGCAGTGAGGGCACGCGGACTTGCCCCCCCCCCCAACCAGCCCGCACTGCTCAGCGGGAGGGCACTGGATCGGGAACCCCTCTCTGGAGGCTGGAAACGGCCAGGCCTTTCCTGTGGGATTCTACCCATTTCTGACGTGGCAGAGGGGTGGGAGTGCCGGAGCGGCCGGCAGCTCCTCGTGCAGGAAGCTGGACTCCTCGTGTGCAGCCTTGGGCGCTCACCTCCTAGATGTCCGTCACCCTGCTGGTGAGTGTGTGGACGGGTGGGGCACAGCGTCTGGCCGCTTGGTTTGGAGGCAGAACAGGCCCAAGTGTCCATACTTAGAACGCCCGAGGACAGACGCACTCCAAGGACGCCCTTGGCCCGAAGGCAGAGTGCCAGCTTCCCCCAACAGCCCGAGGGAAGCCCCACTCCCTGGAAGTGGGGAGCGCTGCTGCTCGGCCTCGCAGGGATGGAGGAGGAGAGGACAAGTCCTGAGCTAAAACTCCTACGGCACTTTGTTTTTAATTCTCATGTAAAATTTTAGATTTCTAAAACGGGGGGGGGGAAATCATTTTGAATCCTGTTCTGTGATCATAACTGCTAGTTTCGAGGACACTGCGGCTGTCCTGCGTCGTGTGTGGCCGTCCTCCACGTCCTGTCACTGTGGCTGCTCCGTGTAGACAATGATAGAGGCTAGTGCGGGCTCCGCGTGGGTCGCTTTCCGGATGTGTATATTGACGAGGTCAGAACGTGTGTACACTACAATAAAGTGCTGGTTCTAACTCCAGTGGCAGAGTGTGTCCTGCCTTTGTTTCAATCCTGCATCCACTTGCTTTTTTTGTTTTTTATTTATTGTTTTTTCAGGTTTTTTTTTTGACCTGAGAACACAATATAAAAAGTCCTTTATTTCTTTCAGTATGCGTTTACCTCTCCCCTCAAGGCTTCACAGAGTGCTGGTCTTCAGTCCACATCAGTTATGTTGAACTCCCCTTCCCCGTACAGAAACATTATACGACTTTAAAAAAAAAAAAAAAAGAAAATACTCTTTTCTCCAGGCACACAGGCCGTGTACCCAAACCAGAACGCCAGGAAGCAGAGACTCGTTTAAATAAATAACATAACATAGAGACATACACTCGGCTTCTCCTATTTCCAAACCGGTGAGGCGGGGCGAGTGAGTTCAGCACTTTGCTGGGGACAAGAGTGTGGCCAGTGGTGTTCTGTGGGCGGCACTGTCTGCTTCTGGCTGCTTCTAACTGAAGAAGGTGGTCCAGAGGGCAGCCGCTCCCGCTCCCGGCTCTGCCAGGCCTTGCCAGGCCTTTGAGAGACCAGTCATAGAGCTGGGCGGGGCCCAAGGTGGCGGCTAACATTAGGCTCACCCGTGGGCTTCGAGAAACCCAGATTCTCAGCCCCCTCTCCGGAGATGGCCTCAGACGGCCGGGAGGGGCCCAGGAAGCGGGCATTTCTAGAGCTCTTCATGTGCACCAAAGGCAAAACCTGAGCTGCTTCAAGCCAAGTCCCATCAGAGACAGACATTCCATCACCGACCGGACTCGCGCTTCTGAGAGCTGTTGCGCACACAGACTAAAGGGGGGAATTTTGGAGATCAAGCCCTCCCGTCCTCAAAACCTGCTTTATGAGGCAGGAGACAGGTAACTGCACAGAGCACTCTGACCGCGTTTGCCTTGATCCACGGTGGCGCGCAAACCAAGCTCCCATCTTTTCAATGTCTTGAGGACCAGCATATATTAAGCTTTATGGGGCTGAGGCCATTCTGAGCCATTGAGGTTCAGTGAGTAGTCTGGCTACTTTCTTTCTTACCCGCAAACAAAATCGCTTTACAGCAGAGAGATGAGAGAATTCCCGTACCCAAGAGTCACTTTAAAAGTGGAAAGCAAGCATCCCTGAATCTGGAGGGTGCCCAGGCTTCCTCTGGGAGCTGCCCGGCGCTTGGTCAGTGGAGAGCGCGAAGGTGGAGGGGGGCATAGAGTCATGGGCGCCCTGTCACCAGGGCGACCGCCAGGCGCCAAGCCCCATGCAGCCCAGCCAGAGCCCGGGAAGAAGGCAGGCTTCCCGGTGGCGGCGGCGAGAGCAGTTTTGGCTGGGTTCTGATTCACCAGCTGGAAGACTCGGGGTGACAGTCCTTAGCAAGACGCAGCCTCGGAGGTGCCCGACTCACAGTGACTCCCCTTCAGAGCCCGGGGCTCGGATCGGGGGGCGCTGGAGGATGGCGCCCCTCCCCTGCACAAAGGGTACATTTCCATTTATGGCTGTTTAGCTCCTGAAACATTTCAAGTCACAAATAAATAACCAGTGTAAACAAAAGGCAGTGTATAGGTTCTCGCCCGTGGGGTTCCATCAGGCTTTTCAGCCCCAAAGGACGGCCGAGGGTCCCGGGTGCCCGGAGCCTGTGATGGCGGCTCGCGGGCAGCTATTGCCTGTTGTCCTTGGACACGTTGTGGGCCAGCCAGTTCACTTTGGTCTTCCAGCTCTCCCGCAGGGCTTCGTTGAACTTCACCCGGAAGTGCTTCAGGGCCTCCTCCTCTGTCTTTCCCAAGGCCAGAGAGTCCTGAGGCAAAACCGGAAATCAGTGAGCGCATCCCCAAGGAGGGGGACCGCCCCACCCCCTGCCCCGAATATGGTAAATTCCCTCTGGAAAGAATTGCAGGAAGGCAATCAGGAGACCGCCACCAGCGTCTCCCCTGGAAAAAGCTCTCTGTTCTGATCCCAAACCAAGATGGGCCTCCTGACCCACCCCCCAAGTAAGATGCCAACTCCAGCCAGGCACCACGGCCCCCAAAGTCCGCGGAGTGGGACAGGTGGCCTCACCGTCTGCACTGGAAATGAACTTTGGGCGGGGGGGTGGGGGGTGGGGGGGGGCAGCGTCATTCTGTGCAAACCAGGCACCAAAGAGGGGCTCGTCTGTCGTGCCTGACCACCCTCCCGACCCCTAGTTTCTCCCACACTGAAAAGCCATGGGAGGGCAAAGCATCTTTAAATGAAGAGAGAAGGTATCTAATCCCACCCTCCTGTCTGAGCAGAACCACCGCAGCCAACTCGGGACAAGAGGGTGGGCCAAGGGAGGTCCCGACACACTGGCCACAGGACCAGGCTGATGCCACCAGGCCCCGTGGCTGGGTCACAGGCAGCCTGAGGCACCCGCACAGGGAGTGCCCCGTGGGGTCCGGGTGGAGGCCTGAGGAACCCGTGAGGGGAATACCCGGTAGGGTCCGCTGTGCTCACAGGCAGGCCTTGGGGACTCGGGGGCAGGCGGGGCTGCCCGGGAGGACCCTCTGGCATTTACCTTGAGATACTGGATGTCTTTGGAGCAGCTGAGCTCAGGCAGACCAGCGGCCCGCATCAGGGCAAAGAGGTGGAGGAACAGCAGCCCGTGGCGTCGCAGGATGGTGTAGGCGCGTTCGCAGTAACCCCGGAATCTGCAGGGGATGCAGGAAGGTGGGAGGCGGGGCCCCGAGTGCTCCCCGCCATTCCCACCCTGCTCGGGCCCTGGAAACCGCCCCCACTCCCTCTGACCACCACACCCCCACCTTTTCCTGCAGGACCCGACCCTGAGCCCAGCCCGGGACTGCCACCCTCCCCGCCCCTGCGCCCCCCCCAGCACCCTCACCTTTCAAATTTCTCACTGTTGTTGGTCTTCCCCTGCTGGATCACGTGCACAAAGTCGTAAGTGAGGATGAACGGGACTCGCTCACGGTTGATTCCAAACTTGGTCTTGAAATTCCCCAGAAAGTGGCCAAAATCAATATGGAAGAGCTAAGAGGAGGAAAGGACGAGCGGTCAGAGACGAGAGGACCCGGGTCGGGAAGGGGGTGCCGGGAGGGAGGGAAAGCGGGGAGGGCCAGGGGCGCCGCACACACGGCCGCAGGCTCTGCCCCTACCTGCCCGTTCTCACGGATCATGATGTTGTCGCTGTGCCGATCACCGATGCCCAGCACGTAAGTGGCCACACAGTAGCCAGCACAGGAGAGGGTGAACTCCTCGATGGCGCGATCCAAGGCCTCCCTGTGTGTGCGTTGGTGGGAAGGAGGATGACCAACCAGGGCCACGCCATTTCCCAGCAACTTCTACCAAAAGGTGGGTCTACTATGTCCCCTCCCCTTGAATGTGGCCTAATGATGCGCTGGGACCAACAGGACAGGGAGGAAGCAGTGTTGGGCTCCTCCCACAGCCTCGGCCTTCAGACACCTGGCAACTGTGCAACTAACCTGTTCTCAGGGAAGGAAGCCGAGACCGGTCCACTCACGGTGGTGGGGAGGGCCACACGGAGACATGGGACTAGGGCCAGCCAGGCAGTCAGGCGACCAGCTGTGCACAGCCCCATGTGGCTCAAGGCCGGAGAACCACTCCGCTCAGGCCCTCAAGCTGCAGGTCTGCGGGCCCGTAGTATCCGGTGGTGGTTTCACGTCCCTCACAGTTAACTGACCCCCGGGGGAAGGGAGACCCGCCCCGCCCCAACAGAGCAGACCTGGTCCTCCGCCGAGCCACGAAGCCGTGAGGACTGTCGCCGGCCCTGCCCCTCACCCTTGACTCCTAAACGGCAGCTTTTGGAAAGGAGAGGCCTCTGTCCCCGGGGCCCAGAGCCTACCCAGGGTTCTTGGACTTGAGCCAGTTAAGCAGCGCGTCCTTGTTGAAGGCAGCCGTGGCCGCCATGTTGCTTTTGTTCAGCTGGATGTTGGCGATGGTGTCTGAGTGAAGCACCACCTCGATGAGGCCCGTGTGGTCCCCGGTGGAGAGGCAGCCGTAGGGGGTCATCCTAGCCAGAGGGGAGGAGGGGCAGGGAATTGCCCAGGTCACAGGCTGTCCTGGGGGCGCTCGACACTCCGCCCCACCCAGCGCAGCTCAGTACAGCCAAAACAGCCCCAGGAGATGCTGCAAGGGAGGGAGAAGTGCTGGGGAGGAGCCCCGGATGCCTGGACTCGGGGGAAGGCTCCCGGGAGAGATCAGCCCAGCATCCAAGACGCACAGAAGCAGCGGCGGCACTCTGGCCGAGCTCCTGTTTGCTCAGAGAGAAACGCAGGTGGTCTGGAAGAGGATGCCGCCGCTTCCCAAGACGGGGCAGGCGGCCCGGGACGCGTGGGGCAGAGGAAGCAACGGAGCGAGACCGATGCTGAGCGCCAGGCCTGCCCTCCTTCTCCCTCCCTCTATGGCCCTATCGCCTCCCTTGGCCCTAATGTAAACCGGGCTCCGCTCTTCTTCGAGCGATCCCTCTTCCAACGGAGGTGGCCCTGCTGGCTTTGACAGAGGATGCCTCCAAAGGGACAGGGTCCCAGGCCTACAGCGAGGACAAGCGGATGACAGGACGGCCTCTCACCTCAGGTCCAGCCCCTCCTGCTTCCACAGAACATCCATGAGCTGGATCATCTGAAGCGTCAGCATGTCCTGGCGGAGGTCTGGGCAGCCGCCCCCGGGAAGGAAAAGCAGGAGCTTCTGGTGGGCTCTGCACCCCCAGCCAGGCCCAGGCCCCAGACTGCCAGGACCCCACCTCCTCAGCCCACCTCCCCGGTTGGGGGACGGGGCGCACGGCCTCCACAGAGCTCTCCCCGCCCGCCTGCTCACCGTCCCCGTTCTTGAAGATGATGCCCACGCTGCCGTCGCTGCCGGCCTCCTCGTTGCTGTACATCACCCACAGCGGCTTCATCTTGGAGTCCATGAAGGTGCACTGCTCCACGCTGCGGGCCAGAGAGCAGTGAGCGGGCAGCGCGCCCTCCGCGGGGCCTCCGGCAGGGCGGGGCGCGGGGCTCACCAGACTTCAGCCAGCAGCGTGCTGGGGTCCAGCGGGGACTGCAGGTGGGAGAGGGCCTCCAGGTAGGTCTCCTGGCGCAGGCACAGGTGCATCAACTCCTTGGTCTGGGGCTTGGTGGTCTTCTGGGAGCTCACTTTGACGAAGTCATTGAGGGCCTTCAGCTTGCTCAGCGCCTCGCCCTGCAGGGAGAACCGACCGTAGGCCCTGCGCGGGAGGCGCGGAGGGGGCGGGGCTCCGAGCCTCGGCCCCGCCCCCCGGGGGGCTCTAGAGCAGCTAGAGCAGCGGACCCCACGCCTCACCTGCTTCATCAGCACCTTCATGTGGTGGGTGCTGCCCCTGCAGTAGGCCTCCATGATGAGGCCGAAGCGCAGAGCCACGGAGGGCACGTGCATCTCGGAGCTGGAGGGAGGGAGGGACGGCTGAGCGGCTGCCTGGCAGGGCCACGGCCCGGGGCGGGGGCTGGGGGGGGGGGGGGGAGACCGGGGGGGGGGGGGGGGGGGGGCCAAGGGGTGCGCTACCGGAGGTGCCAGAAGAGGAAGTGGCCGATCTTGCGGTTGGCCAGCGCCCGGTCCAGCAGGAACTTGGTCAGCTCGCAGTCGAGGTAGGATTCGTACTTGAGCACCTGTACCAGCTGCAGCAGGTACTGGAAAAGCTCGTCGTCCCTGCGGAGAAGGGAGGCCGGCCTCACCTGAGCAGACCCCAGGCCCCATGCAGTCCTCCCTGCCACACGCCCCGCCACCAGCACGGGCTCCACCCGCCGGGGCACACCGGACCGAACCGCCCGCGCCAGGAGCCGGGAGCCCATGGGACTCACGTCAGCTTCCGCAGAGACTTGATGGCGAAGGAGCCCACGTGGCGGTCGGGGAAGCTGAAGTCCAGCAGCTCCAGGGCGCTCAGGACCGGCAGCTCGGGCCAGGAACACAGCAGGTAGAGCATCTGGGGGAGCCCGATGGCCGTCACGGTGCCGCTGGGCAAGAGGCCCTCCCCTCCGCACACAAGCTCCCCCCTCCCGCCCCCCCCACCAGCCCCAACCCCGCCCCCACCTGGGCCACATCCTCATGCTTGTTCCACTTGGTGACCAGCAGCAGGCGGGCCAGCGCCTCCGGGAAGCGCTCCTGGACCTCATGCCGCATCTTCCACACCAGGTCCTTCTCGTGCTCGTACAGCTCCCCGGACCCGCGCCGCTCCAGGATCTCCCGTAGCTGTAGCTGCTGAGGGGGGCAGGCAGGGTGAGCTGCGGCCCAGCCCGGCACCCCACCGCCCCCGGCCCCTGGCTCACCTCCTCCTCACTGAAGCGCCCGTGCTCTCCGTGCCGCCCCAGCTCCAGAATCTGCAATGAGCGGCTCCACGTCAGCAGGGACCTGGACCCTGGGCCAGCCCTGGCAGGGCCCCCCGGGATGTGGGGTGGAGGGCAGAGGGTGTGTGTCAACCCTTTGGCATCCCTGACCTTGGGGTGAGTGCTGTCCTGTGCCCAGCATCCCCGGCCTCCACCTCACAGATGCCAGGAGCATCTCTCCCACCAGCTATGACAACCAAAAGGGTCTCTGAACCTTGCCTGAAGTCCCCTGGAGAGCCATATGGCTCTGACCGAGAACTACTGTTCTAGAGCACATGGGGGTTCTGGAGAATCAAGGAAGTCCCCAACTGTGCGTGCTGACCAAGCCTCAGCCCTGGGCAACTCAGGGGATGGGTGGCGGGAAGCCCAGAGGCGGCGTCAAGAACAGTCATCCTGAGCCCCACGGCCTCTGGACCATCGCAGACCCTGGAGGGCGAGGGGGCTGACCTTGTCCAGGGTGGGGTAGTACACAGGGTAGGGGGCCACCTCAGGGAGGCAGATGACAAGGGCCGCAGCACTCTCTGTGTTGGGGTTGCTCCGCACTGTTCCCGCGGGGTTCAGCAGCTCCCCTTTCTCGTCTGGACACAGGGACAGACGGGAGTTGCCTGGGGAATGCCCCCCTCCAGGAGCGCACTCCCCCACACCTCTCCCTTCCGCCTGGACAGACCTGGGACAGACGGCCACATGTATAGGCAGCATTCACCGGTCTTGAGCTGGTCCTTGTAGTCAAACAGCATGAGGTTGGCCCAGGCGATGGGGCAGTCCTGGAAAAGACCACGGGCAGGTCAGGGCCAGCAGCCGCAGAGGCAGGACGGCCATCGCCTTCAGGCCGAGCTTCCCCGCCCTCACCCAGACTCCCTGGGAGGAAGCAAGCACTATCAGCCACCTCTCGGCTCCCTTCTGCTCTCAGAGGCATCCCTACTTCAGGTTTCTCGAGAAGCCCCCAAACCAACCACACCAGCCCCAGAGGGCTGGCCCAGCTCGGCAGTGGGGTAAGTCGGTGTGGCTCAGTGTCCAGTCACATCCTGGGCCTGGTGACTCAGTGCCCAACCCCCATTCATTCCCTGCTGGCAGCTGACTCAAGACCCCCTGCTCCCTGTGAGGACAGTGTGTCTGTCCTTCCAGCCCAGAGGGCGGCCTCCAGGTTCCTCCAGATGCCTCCGAGTCCACCCCTGCTCGTCAGCCCTGAGACCCAGAACTGACACATGGCAAGGATGGTGGCCAGAATGGGAGGTGGGATATAAGAGGGAGGGTCGCCCCTATCCCCCATCCCCGAGGTGCACCCCTGCTGGGAGTGGACGGGGGGGGTGGCCCTGGGTCACGGCACACCAGTTCCCGGAGGCCTGGCCCCAGCCTCCCAGGCAGTCCCACCCACCGCCTTCTTGGATTTCTTCTTGGTGGAGCGAGCCTTCTTCGCCTTCTCAATCACGGCGTAAAGTGCAAAGCAGAGACGGGCCATGCGAGGCAGGTCGCAGATGTTGATGTCGAACTCCAGCCGCTGTTTCCACACGGGCTCGGAGCACACGCTCACCTCCGAGCTGGACACCGTCTTGCACAGCGTCTCGTTGCCATGGAAGAGCCCGGCCTGCACCACCAGCTGGGGGAGGCACGGGTGTCGGGGGCCAGGTGCCAGACAGCCCGACTCCCTTGCCCCTCTGAGGCTCTCCCACCCACCTAAAGCTCAAGCTCCTGCACGTCTTCATTTCCCATGGGTCCGAATCCCACTTGCCCCTCGGAAGAAAGCAGCACCGGAGGGGGACAGCTGACTGCTTGAGTGGGACAAGGGGCCACAGGGTGAAGGGAAGGGCACCATGGGCTATGCATGGGCTCCCCACGACTCTGTGGGGCTCCGGGGATGTCGTTTCCCCGCTCGGGGCCTCAGTTTCCCTACTGGGGTTTGGGAACTCCAGGGGTCCTTCTTGCTCTGAAACCTGCGAGCTCCCTCCACTGCTCAGAATCATATGAGCCCCGTGAGCAGGCAGGATTTCGTTTCACCAGAACACCCCTGCCCTGTGTCCTCCAACTCCGCCCTGACAGCCCTCGGGGCCCAGCCAGAAACCCGCCTCCAGCTGGGGCTCCAGGGTGCCGTCAGGGAAACCCAGCCCCGCCTGCTGTGAAATCACCCCGACAAAAAGTGCTCCACCAACAGACCAACCTCCGTGGACCCAGGAGTAACGTCCTGCAGATGGGACAATAAGCCCCTCCTGGGGACGGAGGGAGATGGGGTGTGTGACCAACCCCTGAAATGGGTTCGGCCCCCAGGGGTCCAGGCAGCACGCCTCCCAAGTGCCTCCTGGGAGTCCCAAAGCCACAGGGCCCAGCCGGGGCCGCCCCTCTCCCGCACCTGTCACCTCCCAGACCCTGCTGTTCCCACTTCCCTGGGCCTGGCCCCACAACTTCCACCCGAGTCAAATACCCAGAACTCGCTGAGCCTGGTTTCTACGAATTAGCCACTGGCCGGCCAGCCAGCTCCCCTCCCCCCTTCCTGTTTTGAAGCAGCTCACAGCCACCCCAGGCAGGGATTCTGGGTAATGTGGTCAGGTGGCTTTCATGTGACCCCCCCCTTCTTCCTCTGCCACCCCTCTAGACCACAGCCACCTTGTTTGTGCAGAAAACATCCCCGCTGCCCCTAGGAGCCCCCTACCTTCATCCGCTCATCGGCATTCACTTTGCTGCCCTGAATCAGCTCCACGCAGAAAGGCTGCTCCAGGGACCACAGGGACAAGGAGGAAGGCTGGGGCGGGCCAGAGGGGGAGAAGCAGGGCCGTCAACGCAGAGGAATCCCGGGAAAGCTCCTGAGGCTAGCGCCCCTGGCCACTCGTGGGTGGGGTGCGTGTTGCCGGTTGGTGAGAAGGCTTAGATGCCCACCCGTGATACCACGATACCACGATCTGCCAGAAAGCTTGCCGTGCAGGTAGCCCAGGACCCCCGGAGCTCTGCTGGGCATGGCGTTCTGCCTCTCTCTCTCCATTGCAGGGGGGCAGGAAGAACAGAAGCGCAGCCCATGAGCCGGGCCTGGGGCTGCCCCGGGAAGCTCAGACAACACCCCCCGCAACTGCACACTGGTGGAGGGCCAAGTTCAAGGCCCAGCTCTCAACACCGACCCACCAAAGAGCATGAGATGAGGGACCCTGGACCGGCCGGCCCCCAGCCCTCAGCGTTGCCACTAGGCTCCAGGGCCGGACAACAGCGGGGAGGAAGGGATGGATGGGGGGGTGGAGGTGGAAGGCACCAACTCACCTTCTTCATGGGAATGGGGGGTGGTTTGGTGCGTGGTTTCTGGACTTGGGGGGCGGGGTCGCTCTGCTCATCCCGCATGGCGAGGATGGAGGAGGAATGCACCATGGTCAGGTGGGGGGTCAGCCCGCTGTGTAGACAGCTGCAGATGTACTGTGATGGGGGGTGGCGGGCAGAGTGAGCGGCCGATGGGGCAGCCCCAGCCATGCCTCAGCCCCGGGGACTCCCCGATGCCCTCACTGCCGATCCCAGGTCTTCCCGGCCTCTCCTGCTGACCCTTTGGCCCCCCCACCCAGTTCCTGAAGATGGAGCCCTCCTTGGGGGCCCCGGGGAGGGCAGCCCAGTGAGGGGACGCTCTGGCTGTGACCCCCAAAGGCCCAGTTCCCTCCGACCAACTGGGCCCTGGCCTGGGGCCCTGGGGAGCCCGGGAGCGCAGGGTCCCTCCCAGACCTCAGCCCTCACCTGGAACTGGCAGAGGGGGTAGCTGCCGTACAGGTACTCGTGCCTCCCGTTCACCTGCAGCGTGTAGTCCTCGGGCTGCTCCACCAGCGGCTGCCGGAACACCGTGGCCTTCTTCCGGAGCGCGCAGGCCATCAGCGCCAGCGGCACGTCCTTGCTAGACACCTGGAAGGTGAAGCTCTCCTAGGGAGAGGAGGGAGGGTCAGCCCTCCACCCTCGCAGAGGGCCCATGGCTTCCGGGACGCAGAGGGTGGCCCTGCCTATTTGTCCGGAATGAGCTCCCCCCCCACCGTCACCGCCGCCCCCAACGTGAGGCAGAGTCTGATGAAGGCGCACGGCCGACAGCCCAGAAACAGTTACTGAACGAATGAATGGACCCATGACCAAGGCCGTCTGGTCATTCGGCCTCGTCCAACTTGCCCGGTGGGACATCTGCCTGAGCCCCTCGCAGGCATGGGTGCCCTGCAAGTCCCAGCCGGTGCCACCGGGAGGACAGCGGACCCAAGTGCTGGGCGGGGGGCTGGGAAGTCTCACGGGGAAACGTCCCTGCAGCTCGGGCGCTGCAGACGGGCCAGCGTCCCCTGCAGGGGCCATGGGCTCACCTCGCTGCCCTCAAACTTGACATTGACCAGGAGGGCCCGGTTGGGGACCCGCAGGGTGCCGGCCCCCCAGCCCCGGGCCGAGGGCTCCAGCTGCAGCGGGAAGCTGTACTGTAGCCAAGCCTCCCAGCCCAGCTGCCGCCGCCGCGCTGCCGCTTCCTCGCAGAACTGGCGCATCTTGGTGCGAAAGGCATTCACCTCGGGGTCGTGCAGGGAGTCGAACTCATGGAGGCCTGCGAGGCGGGGAGGCTGGGTCAGCGCGGGGGGGCGGCGGGGAGCGGGCTGGGGCCAGCCCACCCGCCCGCGGGTCACCTTTGCCGATGAGGAGGCTGATCTGGGAGTTGACCAGCTTCTTCACTCTGTCCCCCTCTCGGGCCACCAGGCGCAGCACGGGCAGGAAGGGCTGGATGTCACAGAGCCGCCGCTGCTCGTCCTCCAGCTCCTGCTGCTCCGCGGTCTGGTTGACGCAGGTGAACACGTAGGCCTCGGGGTCGCTGAGCATGTGGAAGAGCGGCTCATACTGGGCTCGGTGCCACAACACCTGAAGGGACAGCGGCCGGTCAGCCCCTCCAGCCAAGGCATGCAGGGCCACGGGGAGCCTCGAGGTGGCTGGGGGCAGGCCTCAGCCACAAAGACGGCTTTGCCCTCTGGTCTGTCCCCGACCGGAGGGCAAAGCCGAGATCCCCAAACCCTGTCCTCTCCAGACCCCGTGAGCGCTGACCCCACAGGGCCCCTGAGCCTCCATCGCTACCCTTCTGTGGAAGGTGCTGGGTCCACGCCGAAAGCCTGCCCAGTCTCCCCTGTATGTTACCCTTGAGAGACAGCCCGCCGGACATGACCTCCAGGCAACCCTCCCCCGCAGCTAATCATTCTGGGGTTCTGATTTCCAAATGTTGGCAACGGATTCAGAAAAGCTGAGCACACCAAGAGAGCCGTCAAGCCCTCTATGGGCTGTGCTCAGCTAGGGCGGTCAGCGGGTGCCCTCAGGACGAGGTGTCCCCAGGGAACCCCTGGGAGAGCCATCTAATGGTCAAGTTTTAGTGCAAAGGTGTTCAGCACTGAGTCACAGAGAAGACGGGAGAGAAGAGACCAGCCCTATTCATCTTCCACGGGGGATGGGTAATTACGGCCCATCAGCACAAAGGGATGGGGGGGCGGGGCATGACCCAGAATCTAGAACACCTGTATGAACGGGCACAGAAGGCTCTAAGAGACATGCTCAGTAGGAAAAAAACCCAAGGTATAGGGGCGCCTGGGGCGCTCAGTTGTTAAGCGTCTGCCTTTGGCTCAGGTTATGATCCTGGGGTCCTGGGATCGAGCCCCACCATCAGGGTACCCACCTAGCGGAAAGCCTGCTTCTCCCTCTCCCACTCCCTCTGCTTGTGTTCCCTCTCTGTCTCTCTTTGTCCAATAAATAAATAAAATCTTAAAAAAAAAAAAAAAACCAAGGCATATAACAGCAGATATAATTCAAGCCCATTTCCATAAAAACAACTCGAATAAACATAGTAATGAATAGAGAGCAGGATTTGACAAGAGGAAGTAGGGTCTGCAGGCAAAACCTGGTCCACTCCCCAGTTACTAGAAGACAGCCACACCCACTCATTCACGCTGCGTCTAAGGCTGCCCTGGGCCCGCACTGGCAGAGTTGAGTGTTTGCGATAAATACCAGATGGCCAGAAAAGCCAAGAATATTCACCAGCTGGCCTCTCGGAAAAATAAAAGTATGGAGGCGCCAAAGGCAAACTGGGGTGCGCACAGGGACCCAGGCGTCTTGTATTTCTGCACTGTCGGAACTGCAGTAGCGATGCATGTGTGGCTCAGGAAAACCAGATTATCCTTACAATAAAGTTAATCACATGAGAAAGAGGTTATGTTCACTCAAAAAAAAAAAATCTCAAAGTTCATAACTGGAATTATCACAAAAAACAACACTCCATAGAAAACAGGAGAAGAGCCCAAGTGTTAACTGTGGTTGTCTCTTAAGAGCGGAATCACAGGTGATTTTTTTTTCCTCCTTCTACTTTTCCCTCTTTGCCCCAATCAATGCAACCATATTACTTTTGAAATGGGGGGGGGTAGAGATTTAATTTTTTTATTGTAATTAAAAAAATTTTTTAAAGATTATTTATTTATTTATTTGAGAGACAGAGAGAAGCTAAACCCACTGAGCCACCCAGGCGCCCCAAGAAACTTAATTTTTTTTTAATTTTTTTTTTAAAGATTTTATTTAGTTATTTATTTGGCAGACAGAGATCACAAGTAGGCAGAGAGGCAGGCAGAGAGAGAGAGAGGAGGAAGCAGGCTCCCCGCTGAGCAGAGAGCCCGATGCGGGGCTCGATCCCAGACCCTGGGATCATGACCTGAGCCGAAGGCAGAGGCTTTAACCCACTGAGCCACCCAGGCGCCCCAAGAAACTCAATTTTTAAAGAAATCTCCCAGGAAGGGGAGATTAAAAAATAAAAATAAAACCTCAAAAATGATCTACTGCTTTTTTCCTCTTTTTTTCCTTTTTTTTTCTTTTTTTGTTCCACTCCCAAGTATAAGCTTTTAAAATTCTGAGCTGAGGTCTTGCCCTCTGGCATGACCCACTAAATCCCACACTTCGCAAGTGAGATGAGCCCTCTGGGAGATCACAAGACAGTCTCTGCCAAATCCTTTCCAGATGTCTAACTCTTTGACTCAGTATTCCACCCCTGAAAATTATTCAACAAAACCCAAAACTATTTCCAAAGATGATGTTTACTACCATGACAGCTCTACAGAGAAAAGACTGATAAGACTCTTTCAAGTGGCCAGGGCTGGGGATCGGTTCCAGAAATGATACCACAGTCATGGAGAAAAGGGAAAGCCACCATGGGAACCACACCCCGAGGCTCCCACTGGAATCCAGCAACTGTAACCCTGTCCTGATAAAGGGAGAAGCTGAATTCAGAATGCAGGCTGCGCTCTAACAGCTTGTGAACAAATTTTAGGTATTATTTATCTTCTGAAATCTGTTTTATAGGATCTCAGATCGGAGCCTGGGCGTCTGCCTGTCTTGCCCTCCAAGTTCCAAGCTCGAAGGTCGGGATCGTACCTTCTTGATGGTGCTGAGGTTGGCATTCCGGGACACAGGGAAGTTCAGATAGACCCCCGTGGGCAGCAGGAAGTCAACAGCCACACTCTGATTCTCCTCCTTGGTCCAGAATTCCATGGGGCAGTCAACCCCAGGGGGCATTCTGCTCTCTCACCTCTCAGTCCCTGGTTGTCCTGAAAAGGAAGGAAAGGCGAAATGAGCCATCCTCAGCATGCTGATGAATCCTTTGAAAGGATTCTCTGGAAAATCAGAATGTTGGGACCTTTGGCAGCAGGAAATTCAGGAAGGAGTCTTTCCTCCCTCTGGGGCCTCGTCCTGCCTGGGGTGGCTTGGGGCTCCTGTCCCCCAGACTCTGCACCCCCCTCATGACATCCTACATCCCTCAGCACAGTGGCCCAAATTCAAGACACCAACAGACCCATTCCAAATCATTTTTTCTCAGGAATGCACACACGCGGGAATGCACACACGCGGCCCCCAGCCGGCAGACAGAGGCGGGGGATGGCAGCATCCTTGGTCAGACAACCCGGGACTTGAGAAGGACCAAAGGCTGCAGTTCTTGGAAACTTTCTTTTTAAAAACATTTTTTTTTTTTTTTATTTGACAGAGAGAGCACAAGCAAGGGGAATAACAGGCAGAGGGACCTGATGCGGGGCTCTATCCTAGGACCCTGAGATCATGACCAGAACAGAAGGCATATGCTTGACCATCTGAGCCACTCAGGCGCCCCTCTTGGAAACTTCCTAACCAGAAACCAATTGGCTTAAAAATGGCTTTGGCCATCAAACAACTTGTTGAAGTATCCCCCCTCAGTCATACCCACTCTTCAGTAATAAAATGCTATAGACACAATTAAAGGTCTTTTGAGTATCTCCACCACCACCGCCCCCCTCCCCCATCCCGCCCAGGCTACCACCATCTGGATTCTGGTTATGTGTAATTTCCATGCATGTTTTTATACTTTGATTGTACTAACATGTATCCACAAACAATTCTCAACAGTTTTGCATGTTTTCAAACTTGGTAGGAATAGCTCTGAAGAGCAAGTCTTCTGCAACCTGCAACCCACATTATGTTTTTTTTTTTTTTTTTTAAGATTTCATTTATTTATTTGACAGAGATCACAAGCAGGCAGAGAGGCAGGCAGAGGCAGAGGAGAAAGCAGGCTCCCTGCTGAGCAGGGAGCCCAATGCGATGCGGGGCTCGATCCCAGGACACTGGGATCATGACCTGAGCCGAAAGCAGAGGCTTAACCCACTGAGTCACCCAGGCGCCCCCCACGTTATGTTCTTTAGGCTAATCCATATCGATACATGTAGGTCCGGCTTATTCATTGTAACTTCTGTGCTATTTCCCTGTGTCAATAAAGCACAGTTTATTTACCCCTTCTCTTGCTGATGAACCTCAGGGTTTGTTTCTGCTCTTTCGGGTTATTACAAACAATGCTACAATGTATCTCCTTACACACCTCGCTTTGTGTGCAGGTAGAGTCGGGATGAGCATTGTCCAAAGAAATACAATGGGAACCACACAGGTGATGCCAAAGTCGCCAGCAGTCACATTCAAAAGAAGTAAGATAAAAATTAAGTTTACTGGGGCACCTTGGGTGGCTCAGTGGGTTAAAGCCTCTGCCTTCAGCTCAGGTCATGATCCTAGGGTCCTAGGATCGAGCCCTGCATCGGGCTCTCTGCTCAGCGGGGAGCCTGCTTTCCCCTCTCTCTCTCTCTCTCTCTCTCTCTCTCTCTCCTCCCCTCTCTCTCCCTCTCTCTCTGCCTGCCTCTCTGCCTACTTGTGATCTCTGTCAAATAAATAAATAAAATCTTTAAAAAAAAATTAAGTTTACTCATCTATTTTGCTTAACCCAATATATCCAAAATACAGTCATTTCAAAATGGCCCTCAACGTGGCAAAATTACTAATGAGATAGTTTACATTCTTTTTGGGGCATGAAGTCTTTGCAATCTGGTGTGTATTTTCACTTAGAGCACACTGCAGCTTGGATCCTACATTTCCACCAGAAACACCTGACCTCTATGTCAATGTCATACACTTCACAGATGAAAAAGGAGGGCCGTGGACTCAAGCTGCTCCAAACAGACTGAAAAGTTTTCCAAGAAATGAGTCAAGTATCCATTCTGACATTTGAATGAATCAAAATGAAAGAAAATGCTTAAAAATGTTGTTCTTCAGTCACTTTTCCCATTTCCAAGTACTCAAGAGCGACACCTGGCAGGGGGCCACCACGCTGGACCACACCGGTCTGGGGGAACTGTCGGATCACGGCCATGACCTACGACAGCCAGATCAAGAGCCTCCGCTTTACGAAAGGAAAGCAGTGGTGCCCGTTAGCAACGGGACCAGCGCTGTCCCAGCTTACTCTCCGTATCTCCATCGGCGCTTCGTATCGTCCAATTCACTGTTTCTGCCAATCTGATGTGCACAGAATGCTCCTTTGTTGTTTTAATTTGCATTTCCCTGATGAGCCATAAAAGTGTTTATCTTCTGCAAAGAGCCTGCTTATAAATGTTGCCCATTTTTTTCCTGTGGAGTTGTCTTTTTCTTATTGGTTTATAGGGTTTTTAAAAAATATACTCCAGATTCAATTTATCTGTTGCTTAAATGAGTTGGAAATATCTTCTTTTGGTCTGAGTCATCTTTTCATTTTGTTTATGGTGCCTTTTTTGGTGAAGGAAAAGTTCGTAATGCTGATGTAGTCAAATACTGTCCTTTACGTTCTGGTTTTTATTCTTTCGAGAAAGATTTCCCTACCCTGGGGTCCCATCCTCCTAGATGTAAATGACTCAGAAAAACAACTGAGAGGGATTGTGTAGCTTGGGGAGATATTCTTTTAGGGGCTCTGCCAACAGGGCCCAGACCTCAGCCTCGCTGCCGGGCTAAGTGTAGAATCTGCTGGGAGCAGCACGACATGCGTCGCGCTGGCGCGACCATGTCACCACCACTGGGATCCAGTTCCTGATTGTAAAACCACATCCTACTTTGGGTTCCTCTTTCTGAGAATGGCCAGGCCAAAGGCTTTCTTTCTGATTCAAAATAGGGGGGAGGGACAGGCAGGAATCCTCGAGAATCCACTTCCAACACCGCAAGCGTTCTGCCCACGCTCAGGAAGTCAGGGCACCTGCGGCCACTCAATCCCGAGGCCAAGATGGGCACAAGTAGCATGAGCTCCTTGGGACTCCAGCCAAAGGGGCGGTGCCTGAGACAAATGCACCCCCCGCTCTTCTGCCCCATAGTGCTGTGGAAGGAAGCCTTCAACTAACCTCACCCGTCTGGGATGCACGGTCATACTTCCGTGTATAACGCTCATGGCCTAAGGAAGGAAGACCCCAGATGGTGTGGGCAGGACGTAACCAAATGTCAAGAGATGCGACAGGAAGAAGCAGGAACCCTCTCTCTCTTTGTGCGCCCAGGACCCAAGTTCAGCTGCTCACAAGCCCCAACCCTCCAGGAAGGTCAGACTCATCACCCCGCAATGTATGGGACAAAGGTGCCAACTAATCCGGGGACTTTAGAAGTGCCCCAAGAACGCAAATGGCTGCAACCGCTTGGACAAAGTACCCAGTCCTGGCAGTATCTACTAAAGTGAGCAGGTGATGCCCTCTGACCCAGCAATTAATTGCACACCTCGGTCTACACTCACTGGAAACATGAGTCCCTGTGCAAGAGCAAACACGAACGGGAGTGTGTACGGCACTGCTATTCCGAATAGTCCCAAACTGGAAACTTCCCAAACGCACATCAGCAGTATAATGGAGAAATAAATGATGGTCTCTTTTCCCGGTGGAGTGTTACACAGCAATGACAATGAGCGATCCACAAATGCACACAACAGTGTAAACGAATCTCATAAACGTGCAACTGAACAAACGAAGTCAGGCACAAGAGTATGTGCTCACGATTCTAATTATACAGAGAAGACAGGCAGAGCTCATCTATGTTGGCGGTGGAGGGGGAGACGGGGTGACCCCAGAAGGAGGGCAGTTGCCCCAGGGTCAAAGGGTACGAGGGGCTTCTGGGTGCTGGTACTTTTCAGTTTGTTGATCTGGAAGCTGGGGACTTTTCACAAACTCAACACACCCTCAGTAGGAGTGGTTCAGCCAAGCTGACTTCCTGGCCACTTCAGGCCCAGCCACCCAGAGCCCCGAACTCCACCCCCCATCCCACCCCACCTCCAGGACTTGGATTGGAACCAGGAAGAGGCTCGGCCCACCAATCACTGTGCGTCCTCTCCTGGCCACAGTGATTCCAGGATGGGAGTGAGAATGTCCAGTCAGTCCAGTGCCTTTGACACCCCGGTGTCTGTCTTCAGGTACTGCCTCCTGGAGTAGCAGAAAAGAGAATATCCACCTAGAGCTGCTGGTGACCACCTCCTGCTGCTCTTAGGGGTGAAACTTGAGAAAAGACCACCATGAAGGAGAGGAGAGCTCACAGCAGAGTGGTGGAGTCCTGAAGACAGCCTTTGAGTCCCTGGATCCAGCCATACCTGAGGCTCTCCCTGGATTTTCAGTTCTATTCGCCAAAAAAATCTCCCTGCCTCCCCAGTCTCTCACCCCCCACCATTTTTTTTTTTTTTTAACTTGGAACGGTTTGTCTTTTTTGGTTTTTTTGGGGCGGGGGGGTGGGTTTCGTTGTTGTTTTCGGTCATTTGTAGCTGCACGTTTCATTTTAGGAAGCTTCTAGTGTTTAGAAAGTTCTTTCCTTGGAAATTGGCCCACCTCTTGGAGCCAACCCTGATCTTTGTGTTGTTATCTAGAGATACCCAGAGCTGCCTGATGGCTCCTTCTCCTGGATGATGACCTCAGTACCTCTCTTCTCCCTACAACACAGTTTTTAGACTCTTGCCAAAGTCTGGTACTCTGCGAAAAAAGATGCTATGGATGGGGCCTGACAGGCCAACTGTCGAGGAATGTTCTGGGTACCAGACTCCCACTGCTTAGCTTAATAAAATCTTATCAGCCCCTTCCCCCAAGAAAGTTCTTCAACGGTTATACTGAGCTCTCTGGCTGCCAAACTTCTAAGTATTTCTCCCAGGAAGTCAGGTTCTCTCAATGAAATCTCTTGGATCTGAATGCAGAATTCACAATTACTGTTGGTGACTTCATCTCATGGAAGTAACTGGCACCCGTGTATCACCGCATTTGATATTTTGTACATA